GGTCTCACCACACTTTGGACCAACCAGCCCTTCCTCTTCTCTCTCTCATCTCCAGGTCAATGGGTGTCTATGGAGCATGGTTGAACTAAGCCCATATCTTAATTGCTGGCTTTTCCCCTCTTCCACTCACCAGCTGATCAATGTGGTCACCAGCAATCTTAAGTACCTGCTCATGTATTTCCTTTGAGTTTCAGTCTAGGAGGGGGTTTTGTCCTAAAGAGACTTGATTGTCTTGATGGCTCCCCAGTGAACAACTTGCTTGTTCTTGTAGTAACCAGTCAGGCTGCCCTTTTTATTTTGGATTTTTCCTGCTGGTCTTTTTTCAAGAAGTATCTTCTGTTCCTCTAGTTGTTCTAGGCTCATCTGCTTGTCCTTTTACATGGGAATGTCGTACCTCAGAAGGTTCTGGATGGGGTTCAGGATTACACTTAAGGCCCTATACACAACAGGCTCTGCAAGAAGCCTGTTTCACTGGGCAAGTTGTAGAACCCCTTTTAGGTATTCCAATCAGTTATAGGCTGAAGACAGGTTTATAAGCTTTCTGTAATCATGTTTCCTGATATTCCTTTCTATCCCACTCAAGTGTCTATTTTACAATAGTAAGCAAGGGAAACCAATATTTATTTAAAAGACAAGTATCTTAACATTATATCCCCTCTTTTACCCATTTAGACTATACCTTGATCTCTGTATCACAGAGCCCTGTTGTTCCAAGGTTGAGTAAGCATCACTATTTACCTCTGTCCCATTTAGCCCATGTTAACCTGCCTCAGTGTTCCCCTGTCTACCTTGTTATTCCATCCCCCTCCCCCTTTTTGTATATTGCCCTCCCTAACATCTGAACTATGATGCGTCTACCCACTACCCTGTGCTCTACTTTTCTCCATAATAGACTTTTGATACTTTTTTGATATTTTGCTATAGATTGTTTTTCTTTAGTTTTTGCTGTGCTGAGCATGGGTTTTTGACTGGGGATAGCATTACTGAGTTTGATTTAGGTATTGAGGGGGGGTTGGAAGAATTCGATAAAGAAAGGTTTACCATGAAGTATAGGCATTATCTGGTCCCAATTCCTAGTTGATGTTTACCATACTAGGATGTTGAGACATAATTTCTCATTTTTCTTACAGATGACTTGTTGCAGCTCATAAAGTTATGTCCTCAGGTTGAATTAATTCAATGTCTCACTAAAGAATGGAATGGGAAGCCACCATCTTTATCTTTGGGTCTTGCCATACTTCATCTCTTCTCTGTAGATATGAAGAAAGTTGGCATTAAGCTTCTTCAAGAAATAAATAAAGGTGGGAAAGTTATATAGAGTAAAATGTGATAGAAAAAATAGCAATTACATAATAAATATATTGTCCCTAGAGAAGGACATCAGACTTTGTAAAGTGGAGGCGCAGTGAAAAACAGGAAAACCCCTGTTTTAAGATGGATTCAAGCTTAGCAACCATTGTGAAGATGGTGCAGGACTGGGCTGTGATTCATTGATTCCCACAGGGTCTCTGTGAGTCAGAATCGACTCAATGATACCTAACAACAACAAATTATGTAATATATTGTTGCTGTTGTTAAGTGCCATTGGAGGTGGTTTTGACACAAGGACCCCATATAGGGTTTCTGAGGAGAGGCTGCTGCGCTTGAACCGCCAGCCTTGGGGTTCAAAACGACTTTGCAGTCCATCACATTAACCCACAATACCACATCACAACTCCATATAATATATAAATAGGGCTATTAGGGGGACTGGATATGGGAAAGGAAGTTGCTAGTCGCATGTGAGATACTTTGACAGTATTGTGGGTTCGTACAAGATGATTATGTATCTGTAAATTCAAATCTGTGCATTCTCCTTTGAAAAAAGTTAATTTTAGAAATTTATAAAAATATCAATAATAGTCTGTTGTGAATAATAAATATTTCTTGAGGATATTAGAATGAAGAGACAATCGTTAAGAAGCTTGAGGGAAATATAATAATTAGTGTCATTGAGTTGATTCTGACTCATAGCAACCCTGTGTAGGGTCTAAGGAGCTACTGGTAAGTTTGAACTACTGAACTTTTGGTTATCAGTCCAGTGCTT